CAATTCTACAAAATAAATTTTGTTTAATCGAATCGAAAACGGATCGATGGATACAAAGTGACATACGATACAATTCCAGTTCTATTTTAGCTGGAATTGTATCGTATGTCACTTTCAGCCAGTTGCATAAACGTCCATTAAAATTATCATTAATTTAAAGCGACATTACCGATACAAATTTGGCATACATTAGAGCACAAAGACGTCATTAAACCTTAATGGACGTTTCTGCAACTCACCGTTAGTAGAATAGAAAAACCATTAAAAACTGTAGTTTCGTTCGGTTTCGAACCGTTTTCGATTCGTTTTCGATGCGATTTAAACATAATTTATTTAGTAGAATTGGCCCCCTATTAGGTCTTGGGTAGCTCAGTGGTTAGAGCAGTCGCCCGGATTGGAGGTCGTTGGTGGATGGTGTATAGCATAGTAAACGCAAAATAAATCAAATAAAAACAATTTGCTAGGTTTTAAATACAAATCTCGTCGTGTGCATCGTCAAAACACAAAGCTTCAATGGAATAACTGTTACCCTTTGAAGTGAGAACGTGGAGAAAACTTTTACAAAGCTTAGCGTTGGAATAAATTTATGCTGAGACAGCATTTATTATTAGCAGTGGTCGGAATTAGGTAGAGTTATTCGTGTACTTACACTGATTTTATACAGTGAAAGAATAAAGTGGATATGCCTCAAATCCCCAGATTAATTTTAAAGAGCAGAAAAAATCCCGTGATTTTTTAAATAAAAAGTTATATACTTTTACACAATTTAAACTACTGCACGCACGACGTTGCCAAACTTACATCAATGAAAGAAAGAAATAAAGAAATCCCGGGACCGTCCACATTCATATCAACATTTCGATGCAAGTACATAAATAACTCTACCTAATTCCGACTTTTAGTCAAAATTCATATTATTAAACAGAGACTTGGCAAATGTTAACCTGGTACGAGGTTCTACGGGGGTAATATTTACTCCTAGAAGGTAGTTTTATTCTTATTCTCTGTGTAATATATATTTAGACTAATAATAAAATCGCAATTTTAGCGTATATTTACTCTGACGCTACACCTTGTTTATTAATAGCTTTATTAATTTGTTTATGTACCTAATAGTCGCATCTCCAAAGAATCTCAACTTCTTCTACTTATTATTATATAAATTTTAAAGCACTTTTCTCCTCTCTCTCCAAATTTGCCGTGCCTGATGGGATCCATAATGGTACTTTGTTCTTATGAACATCTTAATACTACATTGTGGAATGCAATAAAATAAATAAAAAAATAAATATTTGCATTATGCTATAGTAGCTCGGTGGCGTAGTGGATAAGCGCCGCGGCCCGTGATCGTAGTCGTTAAGCAACTTTCGCAAAGGTCGGTCTCGGGATGGGTGACCGAAAAATCATTATCTCGAGCTACTCCGTGCTTCGGAAGGCACGTTAAGCCGTTGGTCCCGGCTGCATTAGCAGTCGTTAATACCCTCCAATCCGCATTGGGCAAGCGTGGAGGGTCATGGCCCATCCTCCTTAACCATCATAAGGAAGGCCTGAGCCCCTGCAGTGGGGACGTAAAAGGGCTGATGATTATGCCATTGCACTATCTACCAGAAGTCTAATATTATTAGTGCAATGTCTCCCTCACACCTCAAGGGTGACATATTTATTTATTTATTGTTGTGCTCTAGTAACAAGAGCTGTGTCATAATAGATTGTAGTTGAAGCGACATTGACTTTATATAATTACGGTAACCTTAGCAGAATAGCCTTAGGGCGCGTTCACATATAACGTTCGATTTTACAGGATCCTTGTAAACGGATCCGTCGCTACTGGAGATAGTATTCACACAGCACTCATAGGATCCTTGTTAACGGATCCGTCGCTACTGGAAATAGTATTCACACAGCATTTACACAACTGCACTTTCGTTCTTCAGTATTCGCCTACTTTCTAAGAGGATGGACGTCGTCGTGTTGTATTGGTACTTGCGTCTTGCGTCTGAGGAGGCCCCGGCGTTATTGGATACATCCATTATGGCGGCTGTGTACAGCTCCCACACCCCGCGCACCCACGTGCCTAGCCTCGCGCGGTTCGATCCGAAAAACGGATCAGTATACTGGATCCGGAATACTGTATTATGTGTGAACTCGCTCATGCACCTACATACACTTATAACATACACGTTTAAACGGACCTGTAAAATAGACGTTATATGTGAACGCGCCCTTACAGTCCTAGGAGAGCGACCGCTGACCTCTCCCGGTTATGACTCTAGCCATAGCTATAAAAACTTTCAATGAATTTTCCTGTGGTTTCCCGTGTATTATAAAGCCTATTATAGCCTTCTTCAATAAGTGGATTTTTCAACACAAAATAATTTATCAATTCGAAACAGTACATATAGTTCCAAGTTTCAGACTTCAAAAAACCAGAGGATCATTTCTGGGTAAATGTATTGCTATGTTCAATAAAGTTCCACAAAATGTAATTGACCTGCCCGTAAATAAATTTAAAATTCATGTTAAGAATATACTTATGAGTAAACGCTATTATAAAGTTGATGATTATTTTAAGGATCGCAATGCATGGAATTAATAGCCTTCGCTTTGTTCTATAACGGCTAATTATATGTTCAACATATGTCCTACAGACTTTGAAAGTTGTATTTATTATTGTGATAATACATATTATTTTGGTAATGACATGATTTATGTAAATGTCATTGCTTATGATAAAGAGCTGGTAAGTTTTTTTCGCTTGTTCTTCTTGTCAGCTAAAAGACGTCCTGAACGAGTGGTAGGGGAAAAAAATTTTTTTGGACTATTCAAAAGTGCTTGTAATAGCCTACTTGGATAAAGATATTTTCATTTCATTGCATTAATTGTATAATTTTGAAATCTAGCTCTATCCATTTTAAAGTTATAGTGATTGTGCTAAAGATTTATGGCTTTGTGTACCGTTTAAAGTTGCAAACGCTATCGGAACAAGTGATGATTTTTAAAGATCAAGAAATATAAAAATCTAAAGTAATATTTGCGTAAGTAAAATATCGTTCATTGAATATTAAAAAAAAAAACCCCGATCACAATCGATGTCAAATAGTTGTAGCGCGAACTTAAATATCTTTCAAACATCAAATAGAAATAGATTACTATCGATGTTCGGTGGCGTAGTGGATAAGCGCCGCGGCCCGCGATCTTAGTTGTTAAGCAACTTTCGCAAGGGTCGGTCACGGGATGGGTGACCAAAAAAATATTATCTCGAGCTAGCTTCGGAAGGCACGTTAAGCCGTTGCTCCCGGCTGCATTTACAGTCATTAATACGCTCCAATCCGCATTGGGCCAGCGTGGAGGGTCATGGCCCATCCTCTTTAACCATCCATAAGGAAGGCCTGAGCCCCTGCAGTGGGGACGTAAAAGGGCTGGTGACTATCGATGTTAAAATAAGACAATTAAGCAACAGTCCCTGTGATTAACGCGTTCAAACAAACAAACACACCTAGCTTTATAATATTCAAATTGACATTATCACATCTATACTAGATCGCAGATAAATTCAATTTATATATTTATTTATAATTTAAACTAGTGCCCTCTAAAATAATGCCAATCACACGTAGACATTGACACGCTTAAAATAAATGAGTTACTATTGGCAAGCGTATACATCTCATTGTGTTGCCCAATTGATGAGATTATAAATATGTATAGGTACGTGTGTTGAGTACAACAAAATTTTTCGGCTTTGGTGCCGAATATATTCGGTTCGAATATTTCTTTGACTACACAACACGATACAGCACTAAAAGACAAAACTTCTTATTTAAGAATTATGTATATTAAAATTCAAAGAAATCTGAAGTGTTAAATAAAGCTAATAAAATAAAGCAATTTAAATTCAAATCAACATTTGTTTTTAAACCCTGTTCATGTTGTAAAACAGTGAAATCCTATTATTCCTATTAATTCCAATTAATATTATAAATGTGAAAGTTTCTTTGTTTGGATGTTTGTCCGTTAGTCATGCCGAAACTACTGAACGGATTTTGATGCAATTTTCTATAAAGATAAGGTATTAGCTGGCTTAGATAATAGGATACTTTTTATCCCTCTAAACATTTCTCTGAGGTCCACGCGGGCGAAGCCGCTGGCGAAAGCTAGTGGTATATAAACTTTTAAACTTTCGCGTTGCATTATATTAGATTGTATGAGACAGGTATTAACACGATAGTTAGGTTTTTCACCTACCTATATTTACCGTAATCGAGTTAATACCCGTCTTATATAGATATTAAGCCGAATATCCGGTACGGTACTGAAGCCGAATATTATTCGGTATTTGGTGTGGTATCACTATTCAACGCAACTCTAATTGTTATCCAATCTTTCTATTCGATTACATCCATTGGCAAGGCCTGTATCCCAACAGCTAGGAGCAGGCTATTAATGTCCAGGGCTCATACTTTCCTTGTGGATGGAATCATATCAAAATCGAATAACCAGAATGGGCCATGATCCAGTGCGGATTAGTGGTTGTTTACGATTGCAAATACAGCCGGGACTAACGGCTTAATGTGCCTTCTGAATAGGGTTGCCACCTTTTTTTCCCAATTAAAGTACATTAGTTATTAATATTATAGGTACAGAAAAAAAGTACATAGAATCAAAATAAAGTAATATTTATTTTTCTTTATTATTAAACTTAATTTTTTTTTAATTTTATTTATCTATAGATAGATTTTATTTAACGAAAAAATACTTACGACTAAGCTTCAAAATCACAAACAAATCAAATCATGCGAAATAAAGTATTTTCGTGTAGAGTAACTGCAGCATATTTGGAAAATCAGTTTGTTTTTTGAGAATAAATTGAAAAAAGGGATAGCTCAATAAAAAATACGTTTATTACTTGGAAAACTATTAAACTTTAATATTTATAACTATCATAAAGAACAAAAGTCAGGAACCTTATCAAAAAACAAAAAGAGCTAAAAATTATGTGAATGGACTTAGAGGGCAGGTAATATGGAATATAGTATTCCAAATTATATTCACTTTATAGTATATACTTATATATATTATTATCTATATATATTTTAACAATTATATGTTTTATTAACATACTGTTAACACTTCGATCTTAAGAACTAATAAATTTCTAGTCTTTGTAACAGTTCACGTGTAGTATCCCAAATTAACAACATATCATCCTAACCTAAACGGCATATCACATTTTCAATTCTAGAAATATTCACAAAATTAAAGTTAAATTATAAACTAAAAGGGTCACATAACAGTTTGAATAATTACACTAAATATTTTATGTTTGAGAGTAAATAATTATCGTTGTTTGCATACTTACCAAAAAAAGCTTTGAAATCTGATTCTGTCATCTTGTTCCGTCGGAGCTGGTACCCGGAATGTCAAAATGGTGTCCTGTTTTTAATGCGATATGTCGTAGTGTGCCTTACGACGTCATGTTCACGGTAAAAAAACATAGATGCTGTTAATATTTATTTAGATACCGAAGTATTCCAAGTTACCTGCAGTATCCCAAATATGCTGCAGTTTCTCTACTTTATTTTTCATATAGAGTATAGAGTACAATTGTCTGAAATAACGTACAATACTTTATTATAAAGTACGGGTGGTAACCCTGCTTCTGAAGCACGGATGAGTAATTATTTGGTTATCCATCCTGTGACGGCTCCTTGCCCTGGTCCTGGGTAGCTCAGTGGTTAGAGCAGTCGCCCGTATTGCGAAAAGTTGTGGGTTCGAATCCTATTTCAGGGTGCCAAGGACCAAGTGGATTTTTTTAAGCATTTTGTATTAAGAATACATAAAAATTAGTTTATGTTTTTCCATATAAAATCAGATAATTTATTGTATTTTGACAAGATTTTGACTTCAATATTTGCACATAGTCTTTAAGATTAAATATGCTTTAGTAAAATTATCCTGCAAATACAGATTATTATTTTTCTTGTCATTTCTTTTAGATCTTACCAGATTCCCCAGCGGAAAGGTCCGGTCTTCAGAACGGGGATGCAATCTTTAGCATCAACGGCAAGAATACAACAGATTTATCTCATGACAGCGCGAAGCAAGTGCTCGAAGATGCTCCTGATACATTAACTATGGCTGTGAAACGGTATGTACTATCAAACATATAAGAAATGGGGGTTCTTTTATGGAATAAAAGGGATTTCTCTGTAATGTTCTTCAATTTATTCCTAGCACAGTGAAACCTGATTAGTGGTTTAGTGAGAAACCTCTGTTATTGAGAATAGGGATGACGATTATTTTTGTTTGTTTGTCCGGCAACTAGAGGGTTGAAAAATATTAAACACGTATTTTTTTATTTTTTTTCGTAATTATAAAAACGGCGTTACATGGAGTTGAAATTTCGCATGAAGTCACGTTATGGTACGATTGCTACTAAACTGTGTCGTAGCGAGCCCCCACTCCTCAACTTTAATGCCTGTTATCTAAGCTATTTCTTGTTAAATTGAAGTAAAAAAATACGTTTCTAATATTTTTCTATTATCTGAATGAGGGACTAAATAGAATTGCATTTTTTTTTACCTAGTCGTCATCCCTACTGCAATGATGTCCCGGTACTTTTTCACCGAATTACTGTAAATAAGACTTTTAGAACATGGTTAAATAAGGTTTGATTTCTAGGGATTTTTTCGATGTTTTCCTCTATAATTGAGACGTAGCTCATTTCCCTGTATAAGAGAGACATTTTGAGGGCAAAATGCCATGTGCCCCCAGCTGGAAGGGTCCCCCGGTAAGGGGAGACTCCTCACTCCTGACATTTATTATTACACGATTAGTAAAAAAGAATAGAATGTCAGATGAATTTACCGCGGGCCTCAAACAGTATAGTTACGCAACTGATTGTATTTTTTTTTTTTATAATAAATACCTGAATAAACTTCGCATTTTTTAACACCTTTATAAAAGGACGAACGGTACATTTTGATCTCAATACACGGTGCCTCTGTAAATGATACAGCACAATTTAAAAAATGTCCAATTATAAAACTGGATAAATGAAAACCTCTTTAAATAGTACAATATCCTTGGTCCCTTGAGATCCCAATTAACCAGGTTTCACTCTATTAACAATCTGTAGAATAGGGATGATGACTAATTTTTGTTTGTTTGTCCGTCAGGTAGAGTGTAAAAAAATATAAAACACGTATTTTTTATTTTTTTCGTAATCATAACATTACGACGTAACATGGAGTTGAAATTTCGCATGACGTCACGTTAGAGTACGTTTTCTACTCAACTGTGACGTAGCGAGCCCCCACTCCTCAACTTTAATGCCTGTTATCTAAGCTATTTCTTGTTAAATTGAAGTAAAAAGAAATACGTATCTAATATTTTTCTATTATCTGACTGACGGACTAAATAGAATTGCATTTTTTTTCCCCCGTCATCAACCCTATTATTGTTATTGTATCTACTATCCCTACGGTGGAGGATGGAGGTGTCATAAAAAAGATTATCAGTCATCAAGAAAGAACAACGCGAAATCGAAAGCTAAAACTTTATCTCGCAGTGTGCGGTGGGATTTGCGCACGCACCCCCTTCGTGTGCGGTATGATCAAATAATTGTCGTCACCAGCCGGTTTTTTGAACATTTTCGCTTCTATCTTTAACAATACTGAACGGTTTGACTTCGGATTATTATAATAGTATTCTTAGATATGTTATCTAACAACTTAAAAATTTAAAAAAGGTATTTTTTAAGTACAGGATTCACAATGGCGGTTTATTTATGACATATCGTGAAAATGTGGGTATTTTTATAAATTTTTAGGTTTTTTCAATTCACCTTCTTTTGTTCATGGGTTAATTTAAAATATAAGCGACCAGCATTGACCATAATCGTTCGGAGAGTAAATCTAATAGTGATGTGCCTACGTACGAATTAACATGACAACTGAAGGCCTATTCCATTTCTCAGAAAACGATATTTAGTCTATAGTCGAAATGCTAATATGGCTCCAAAAAACACATTTTTCTATAATTTAAGGTGTAACGGAGGCAGGAGCTGACACTACCTCTAATGCACAGATAATTTACACGAATGTGATTGCAATAAAATAACAAAATAAACTAATTTTTTTGCTTGTCATATCCTTATCGGGTAGATTATTAAACAAGAATTTTGCTACCGGTATATAAGGTGTAATATATTATTATACTGTCAACGATTGTAGGTATTACAATTTTGTATAAAACAGCTGATTATTTTTTCGTAAATTCAGTGTTGCTGCCACAGTAAAAGTTGTTCATTATACGTAACTAATCTACCCCACGAAGTAGTGGCATATAATAATATTATGCCTTATTTAGGCGTAAATTTTTATATACTACTGTACTTTTCATTGTTTCGTGTTCTAAGTGTAACGGTGTGCCATGCCACCGTTTGTTTTCCTAGGTTTCAGTATGCAAACTTTTTACTTTTGAAATTCAACATCATTTCATTTTACTATTCGTCTTTCGTAATTTAAAATTTTGACTAATCAATTTTACTCTTTATGGATGTCAGTTCGTAAGAAATTCTCCTATACACAAGATGAAATTATAATATAATACAATATTATTGGTATAAATTTTACTATGTAATTTTAATAATTCATATATTATGGTGATACAATAATATAACATATTTACTAAATTAAAACTGTATTTTGTACGATCCAAAAGTGTAACAAGAAGCCCGACAAGGGGTATGTATTCGTTTATTTGATAAGAATGTATTAGTTTAAGTAACTTACGAACTGTTTTTTTAAATTTATTTTTGTTTGTTACAGTTTTTTATTATTACCCTTATTTCATTAATAAATTATACTCAAGCTGATCAGCCTATTTAATTGACGAAGCACCGAACCCGTAACATAAGTACAATAATAGTTCCTCTAGACAGCCAACCTTCATGATTTGACTAAGATGTAGAGTTTGTAAAAAGGTTTGTAGCGTTAGTGAATGAGAGTTTAAAAAAAAAACGACGAATCGGTTCTAGATAAAGCAAATGGTATCCTTACGCTTTCTTTGGCTCATCGACTTGTCAGCCACTACCGTGAGCCAAGATGACTCAGAAACACAAGAACATAAGTCGTTTATTTTGAATTTAACGAAAAGGAGCCAAATTTAAATATAGCTCATTATTATCGACTATCAATTAAATATTGACATCGTACCGTTGCCAAAGAAAAATCCAAATTTAAATTGTCCTTTGCAAACGAAACAAACAGTTGATTGTGGCGCTAGTTGTCTATGAAAACAATACGTCTCAAGTACTGCCAAATATTAGTTCCAAGTAATGTCATCTGCCAAAATAAGTTTGTCGAACCTTCGATAAATAAATCTAATAAACCAATGATCGGCTTTTTTTATTCATTTACGATTAGGAAACGAAAACGACAGTTTGAAACATTTTTTTAATTTTACAATAAGTTTGGTTGGTCGAAATGAAGTTCTATTTGGTCTATAAAAATAAGTGAGATTTTTGTTTTTTTTTTCATGATGAGCAGTGAAGATATTCCCGCCATATCACTTTTGGCCATAGTGATTACAAGATATAATAGATATGAGAATAGTGTAATGTTTTATATATTTTAAAACTTTTGTTTGTGTTTTAAGTACGGTGTTTCAAATTTTTTTTTATAAATTTAATCTAGCGGTTCTTACTCTGTGGCGAAAAGTGCTTTCTTTATTTAAAGTTTACTTTTGAGTTTTAATAGATGGCGTTGGTATTAATGTGCTGCTATTTTATCAACAAAAATGTCCTTTGACGAAGTGTATTCCGCTTTCAATAGTGTTATTGAGATATGGTGTCGTTTAATATTTTAATCAAAGCAACTTTGTCGGCCTAAATCTAATTTCCATAACCTCAAAGTACAGTCGATTTAATTGTAAGAAGAAATGTTTTATTCATAACCATTATAATTACCTACTAGTTTGTCTGTAATTAAATGAGGAAGTATACAAAAAAATTGTTTCCGAAACCAAACTAGATGTCACTACGGTACTTTCTTGATTTTTCCATGACAACCCTTCCGGTTTTCTTTCATGTTTAAAAGTAACAAATAAAATATACGAAAAATAACAAATAGAATATGAGTTGTTTATTGAGTTTTGAAAATTAATTTGCTTTTATACATGAAAGAAAACCGGAAGGGTTGTCATGGAGAAATCAAGAAACTACCGTAGCGACATCTAGTTGTTTTTTTAATACGTCCTCGTTCCTTGATAGCTGCAACCCACAGTAACTTCATTATCGTAATACTATCACAATATCAACCTTACATTCTTACAAATGAGCGTCAAATCAAAACTATATTTTTGAATTCGATTATAAACGAAAACGTAAATAATTCTATGCCGTCTTTTGGTGATCAAAATTAAACTGTAAGGTTCCGAGTTAACATGAATTATTCTCAGTTTTTCCTTACTAATGAGCTCACTTTTGACCACAATCACGTCTAGATAATATCTATGGTGGGATGAACTTATCATTGGGAGATAACAATCTATTTTCTTTCCAGCGGGCTCTACGACCCAGTTTTGGACGAGTACGAGCCAATATACGAGCCGATAGAACAGGAAGATTTCGACCAACCATCGAAACCAACTGAGGTAGACCCTTTTTCAGTACAACAGTTCCAAGACGAGAAGAACCCAGAGCTACCTGAACTACGTGATATAGAAACTCCAGCTTTCATAAATGTTCCAGAATTACCGTCTAGATCTCTCACGGCTTCCCCTTTCATCCTTCCAGTAAAACCTTACAGGCCTTTTTCTACAGAGCCTTTACCAGACATTCCTCCCCTAGAAGATCCTATTATACTAAACCCCAATTATAAGGACTTATTCGGTAACAAAGATGATGGAGAATTTACGCCTCAAACTAGATTTAAGCTTCCAATTTCAGAACAGTACGATCCAGATGGCACCAAAAGCAAAGGAAAAATTTGTACCAAAAAAAATGAAACTAGTTTTTCTGAAAATACTCTAATTAAGGATGTGACATTCGAAGAGAAAGCTAAAACAGAAGCAATAATTTCACAAGAAATGCAAATTAAGACCATGCTGGATGAAGTGAAATTTATGAAGAAAATGAAGAACGAAATCGACTTAGATAAAATTGAAATGACAGTTAGCCTTGTTGATGAGAACATTGAGAGAGCTATATCAGTGGCTGATGAAATAAAAAAAGAAATTGATGTTGAACTGTCTGATTCCGAGGCCAGTTCTGATGTCAAAAAGTCGATGTTGGTTACGGAGACGAAATCACAAAAGGAAATATTTGAAGCTAATGTTTTGAGTCAAAATTCATTACAAGAAACTAACGAATTAGTAGAACTGATTGACAAAACTACTGACGAAATCATCAGTTATAATGGAAATAAAACAGAAGTGAACGTTACTAAAGAAGTAGAAACGTTTGAAGAAAATAAATGTAAAGAACAAAATTCTGTAGATGAAAAGAAATTATCTACTAAGCAAGAGTTAGAAGAGAGCATCCTTTCTGGAAGTGTAAGAAGAAAATCAGAATTATTTGATAAAAAAAATGAAAGTAAGGTAATAGAAGAGGAACAAAATGTTGAAAAGAATTTATCCAAAAAACAACTTTCAAGTAAAGATACAGTTGATAACTATGATAGTGTTAATATTAACAAATCAGAAGCAGTAAGTCATAATACCCAGAAGGTTAAAGAAGTTAAAAAAGAGTCCATAAATAGATCTAGTGTTAAAAGTGACTTCCAATCATCTAAGCACAAAGCTTATAATATTGGCTTGCAAACAATACCTAACATTAAAGGATCTATACATTCATCATATCATTATAATTTGTTGCTAAAAACATTCTTCATACATCTAACTGACGTAATGGTTGCTTTATCAAGATTTATTTTGACTGAGTCCGTATTTAATAAAGAAACGGATGAAGATAGAAAAGATGTTACATCGGCAACTACATCTGAACAGACTAGTGTTAGAAACGAAAACAACTTAAATAAAGATTTATTACTCAATGAAAGTCAGGAAGAATATAAAGAAGCGGCTAAAGTTCAAGAAGAACATGTAAGAAAAGAGGTAGCAAAAAATGAAGAAAGTGAAACGATGACTGTAAACAGGAAAATGGCAACAGAAGCAATAATGGAAAAAGAAGAAATCAAAGTTATTGAATATGGAAAAGATGAAGGTGATAAAAAATATTTTGAAGTAGAGCAAGCATCAGAAACAAGAATGCTGTCTGGCTCTAAAATGGCCCAACTTACTGAAAGAAAATCTGAAGAGTTGACTCTTAAAATGGATGCGGTTATATCAGAATTTGAAACTAAAACTGGAATAGAAGCACATACAGGTTTCCAAGATAGAAGATCTAGAAGTCGTAGCAGAATAGAAGAGGAAGTAGCTAAAGAAAGTGATCCACTAGAATGGCTTTCTAAAGTTGATATGAAGTCACAAGAGCTAACTGAAACCAAAACCGGAACTAAATCTATTAGCACTGACTGTGAGTCTTTTGAAAAAAAGACTGAAGAAATTGTTAAAAACCATGAAACAAAATCTACCAAGAGCGAAAAAGGTAAACAAATGTACGTTGCTATTGTAGAGTCACACATATTCACAAACAAAGATGCCATATTTGATGAGCAAATCGGAGAATTTTCTGAAACTTCATCTATTCAAAGTGTAGATGAAATAAATATTGCCTCACAAATGAGTGAAACAATGGCAACCGAGAAAGTTGCATTTAAAAACAAAGAAATGAAACATGAAATTGCTGAAGTTGTACTGGAAGAACCCCATGATTTTGCAATCGTCGATGTACGAAGTGAAGCAGTAGAAGTTAGTCAGAACATAAAATCTGTCACCAAACAGGATGTAGCAAAAGCAACAGAAACTGATACAAAAGAAACTGCTCAAGACATTCTTAAGTTACAGTTAAAAGAGCCGGTAGTTGAAATTGAAGAAGTTCAGATAGAGAAAATAAGCAAACATACTGAAAATAATTATACCAACAAAAAGGAACAAATTTCTGAGTTAATAGAAGTTAAAGAATCTAATCATAAGGTTATTCAAGAAAAACAAAAAGAAGAGCAAAGTAGTGTAGTTGTCGAAGAAATTATACTTAATGATGCCAATGAATCGATTGAAAAAGAAATTGAAAAAGTGAAAATAGAAAAACAGGTCGAAGTACAATCCGAACAGAATATCACGATACCGACTAAAATAAGCTATATAAAAAATGAAGACTCAGCTGAATTGAAAATTGTCAAAGAACAAGTTCTTGAAGTCGAAGAAGCTTTAAAACTATCTGAAGAATCAGAATTGTCTATAAATAAACACACAATAGAGATCGAAAACCAAACTGCTTCGTTCCAAAAGAGTACTATGGAAAGTTTTGAATCTAATGAGATAGTACAAGAATCCTCGTTCACAGCAAAAACTACTGATCAATCCAAGAAACTTACTTTACAAATAGATTTAGCTGAACGGAGGAGACTGCAAAGCCAAAGTTCTGAAATAAGTGAACCACCTTCCACAATAGACACACCTACACCTGCTACTGTACCACCAACACCTTTAACTGATGAATACGTATTCAAACTACAAATCCCACTGCCTAAAAATACAGGAACCCCAGTACCCAGAGATTGTACTCCTGATGAATCTGAAGATGAAGACCCTCATATAGTTAAGAAGAAATTGGTAGCGCACATTGATACAACTTTAGATTCACCAATCATTTATGATCCCCCGTTACCTTCACCTCCAGTAGATAAAGTTCAATCTCCTGTGTACACAAAACCTGGTCTTAGGGGTGGGGCTGATAGGAGAGCGATGAAAAAAGGTGTCTCAACAAAAAAGGTTTGTGATAACATGATTGTGAACTTCAATAATTCCCATTAGGTGTCAATAGATGTCAGCAAAAAAAAACCATTCTAGTGCCGTAAAAAAGTGCTAGTCTTAAGTATTTTCTAATAAAAAAATATACCTCATATTTTATCGATATGGACATAAAAATAACAATGCTGTAAGTATGTACTGTAATGCATCAATTTGTTTAAATGAGACTTTTTAAATTTCAAATTAGATTGAAATTATAAACAAAACGAACATCATTCACAATAGTAATATTATGAATTCAATGTATTTATTACTTATAAGCATCAATTTTTTTTATTATCTCTACAGGAAGAAATTCTAGAGATCGAGAGGAAATCGTCACTCCTCGCATCAGCTATTGATGAAACCATTAAAAGCATTGAAGAATATAAAGAAGAAGTTGGGATCGATACAAAAAAAGAAATGAAGACAGAAGAAAACAGCAAATCAGAGACAACAGTCTCAAAAAAGGTTGAAGAACTAAAAACGTGTAAACGAGAAACCAATTTATACAATGGTTATGCCAAAATTGATTCCGTAACTTACAATGGCACCGAAAATCATGACAGCAAAATAAGCGATGAGTGGAATCACATTGACAAACAAGTGAAAGATAGTAATGAAAAACTTAATGAACTATCACTAAAAGTCAACGGCAATGACTCTGGAACAGAAACATGTGTTAAAAATGAATCACAGAAAGAGGCGTATAGTTTATCGGAAACCCCAGCTTTAAAAGAATCCAAAAATACAACAGAAGTTAATCATATAGCAGAGGACCAGGTGACACAGGGAAATAGAGGTGACGTACAGGAACCCAGCAGTGTATTAGAGTCTACTGATGTTAAACCTGCTCCGGTAATTGAGATTACGAATATAATCGACGCATCATCGATTAATATTCAGAAAAGTCCTTTAGAAGGATACAGACCAGTACAATTTAATCCCGAGGAATTGATAGAAACTAGAAGAAAATTACAAAGCGTACATTTATCTGCCCAGGTAAGAAAAAATGTTTTAATGCCTAAAATTCTTCTTAAATAAGGTTGAACCTGTCATATAATAATTTTTAACAATTTAAGACACTAATGCAAAGAGCAACTTCTCCAAGTTATGTGAGCGCTTCTGGTGAACTATTAGGTACTCATCAGGGAATTGTGGACGGACTAGAAGAAGCTGTTGTCGATGCAGAAGTAGCGAGTAAGTTTAAAAAAGTTTCATTATTACTGTGTGTACTCTGATAACAAAAAACTTTCGCAATAGCCGGCCATCTATTTTTGCATCAAAACTTATCATCTCGAACTATGTGCATGCTTCGGAAGGATTTTTAACTCGTTTAACCTGGCTAACGCTGACCTGGCACAGATGATAATGTCTGCAATGGAGGGTTATTGTTGATTAAGAATATTCTTATCTTTCTGCACGCAAACAGTTCATTGATACTAGATCTATATCAATAATCATCATCATCATCATCAGCCGGAAGACGTCCACTGCTGAACATAGGCCTCCCCCTTTGAACGCCACGACGGACGACATCGTGCCAGCTGCATCCAGTGGTCGCCCGCGACTCGGACGATGTCGTCCGTCTATCTAGTCGGGGGTTGACCCACGCTGCGTCTTCCGGTTCGTGGTCTCCACTCGAGAACCTTTCGTCCCCATCGGTTATCGGTTCGTCGAGCGATGTGGCCTGCCCACTGCCACTTCAGCTTACAAACTTTGCGAGCTATGTTGGTCACTCTAGTTCTTTGGCGAATATCCACGTTTCGGATCCTATCGCGCAAAGAAACCCCTAACATAGCTCTCTCCATGCCTCGCTGAGCGACTCTGAGCTTCTCTAAGAGGCCAGCAGTTAAGGACCACGTTTCAGTGCCATAGGTCATCACTGGCAACACACACTGGTTATACACCTTCGTCTTTAGGCACTGTGGTAATTTGGATGTGAAGATATCGCGTAGCTTCCCGAACGCTGCCCAGCCGAGTTGGATTCTTCGAGCGACCTCTTTGTCGAAATTGGATCTACCTAACTGGATTGTCTGTCCAAGGTACACGTAGTGATCGACAACTTCGAGAGTATCAGTTCCAATGACCACCGGTACGGGTGCAACATGGACATTCGACATGATTTTCGTCTTGTTCATGTTTATTTTAAGACCCACCTGTTTGGAAACGATACTCAGGTCGCTGAGCATTGTACTGATGTGCTCCATCGATCTTGCCAAGATGACTATATCATCGGCGAAACGAAGGTGAGTGATGTATTCGCCATTGATGTTGATGCCGTATTCGTCCCATTCCAAGAGCTTGAAGACGTCCTCCAATGCATTCGTGAACAGTTTCGGAGAAATGACATCTCCCTGTCTCACGCCTCTGCGCAATTGGATTGGTTTCGTGCTCTCTTCCTGGTAGCGAATCGACATTGTGGCGTTGCTATACAAACGCTTCAACACTTCGACGTACCTGTAGTCGATTTGGCATCGCTGGAGGGACTGCAGTACTGCCCAGGTTTCGATTGAATCGAAGGCTTTCTCATAGTCCACAAACGCTAAGCAAAGTGGCAGATTATACTCCTCGGCCTTCTGTATAATCTGCCGCAGCGTATGTATGTGGTCTATGGTGCTAAAGCCTTTTCGGAAACCGGCTTGTTCGGGAGGCTGGAAGTCATCAAACCGGCGTTCGAGACGATTCGTAATGACCCTGGAAAACAACTTATAAACGTGGCTCAGAAGCGAGATTGGTCTATAATTCTTCAACAAGGTCTTGTCACCTTTTTTGAAGAAGAGCACAACCACGCTTCTGTGCCACGCTTCTGGCGTCGTACCCTCGAGAATGACGGAATTGAACAATTTCTGGAGGACTAAGAGTACCGGTTTTCCAAAGTTCAGTAGTGATTCCGTCATCCCCCGGTGCCTTGTTGTTCTTGAGCTGTTTGAGTGCCATTCTAATCTCGTACAGGCTGATGTCTGGGATATCCTCGGTGTGATGTCGGGTCAGCTTTGCTCTGGTGTCCTGAGCATTGCTTTCAATCAATAATACGAAACTGTATTAAAATCAAAATTGACCTCTTTAAAAATAGGTGTTCCACAGGGTTTGATGTCATACATCAGGGTCGGTCACTCGGTCGGTCGTCGGTAATAATAATATATTAATAAGAAATATGAATTGTCAAAAATCAAAAATCAAAATCATTTATTCAGTCTAGGCTGTTACAAGCACTTGTGAAAGTCGAGAGCTACGCCATCGGTTCGTAAATCTACGGCGGGAGACCTTGTACCGAGAAGAACCGGCAAGAAACTCGGCAAGGGCTTCTTTTTTCTCCCTGTTTTATTTCACACAGAGCGTCAAGATTGAAAAATGACTTCATTAAAATTTGAAGTCACTTTCCATTACAATATTACACAATATTAGAGTAAAACAGTATTTTCGTCAATCCAATCACATTTGTAGCCAAAGAAGCTCACCGATTAACAATTTATTATATATATGAAAAATGAGCCATATTTAACTCCAAGCAGTTTTGTCGTTTAAATATTCATTAACAAAGTTTTCTATTGTCTGTTTCTATTTAATTTGATCAATTTTGCAATCACAATGTTGTATTGGAAAACAGTCTTAATGAAAATTGCTTAAAAATTCCACTTTGTCTCTGGTTCTCTGAGATGGGATTCGAACCCTTTTGCAATTCGGGCGACTGCTCTAACTTTTTCTTTTTTCATTATTCTAGAAGAACTTGGTAAGCCTGGTATTACGGAAGAGAAAATAGCAGAGTTAATATCAGGTGAATCGGAGATGTTAAGAGAGGCACATGTTATGGGGTGAGTATTAAGTTTGACTATTACCTTAAAAAATTGAGTACATGATTCATCTCACCTACTTGGTTGTAACAATTAGTCAGTCAATCGATAAAAGTTATATGTTTATTGATATTCTAAACATCTAAGCAAACATTTTCTTTAATAAAAAAAAAATAGACAACTTCATTATACATTTCTTCAAACTAAGAAGCGAAATCACTTCTATTATTGAAATGATCAAGAAAAAAGTATACAGAATTGTCATTTTCTATGTTATTCCGACCAGGAATCGAAATCGGAACCTCGGAGATTTGTTTTTCTTTTATTCAGTGTATTTTTTGCATTCCAATTATTTGTAAATTAATGCCATGTCATTTCAACCATTTTGTATACATATCATTCATAACATAAACTCATTTTTTTAAATATTCCAAACATATCATTACAAAAAAAGTGAAATATCATATTTTCGTAAATAGTAATCACTGTAAGATTCAAATATTTTATCATATCACTTGACATAAATCATGACGTGTAATTTTTTCTATGATACTATATTAAAAACGTGTCATACATTTGTTTTTCATACGGTACTTCATTTGTAGTATATCTTTTCAGAATTACTTAATCTCGTCACTTAGGATGGAATGAGGTTTCCCTTTACATTTCTTTTTTCATTAATACATGATTTTAACAATGCAGTTCGAAAAATTATACATACAAATCATTTTCTCAGATTCTGTACTTACATACCTTCACTGTCTTTAGTAGTATTCAAATCATGTATTCACTGCGGTAAACTACTTGCTAAGCTATAAAATTTATATTTGCTAATACAGCAAGTACTCAAAGGTTCTCAAATAGGGCCACTACTCTTTAAAGTCTTCAAACAAGACAATTTTGAATTTAACATATTTAACACTAATACAATAAATACCAAACAAAATGGTTGAAAACAGGCTGTCTCGTGTACTGAAATCACATATGCATCGGCTCGATGACGATTCCAGCGTGGATTTTAAGAAGATAAAACCGATCATAGAGTCTTTGAAAGATTCCGAAGTATTAAAAGCGCTGAACGAAGAGTTGATAAGGACGCAAGAAGAAAAAAAGAAGGAGGAACAAAAGAAATGGACGACGTTCTTGCAAAAGCCTAAGCGACCGGTGCCAAGGGCTAAGTTTGGTTACTACGGTTATATTGAACCGGAAGAGATAGTGGTTGAGGTGAGACCATTTATTTATCACTACATAGTATAAAACAAAGTCGCTTTCTCTGTCCATATATCCCTATGGATGCTTAAATCTTTAAAACTACGCAACGGATTTTGATACGGTTTTTTTTTCATAGAAAGGGTGATTCAAAAGGAAGGTTTTTATGTATAATACAAGCCCACGCTGGCGAAGCCGCTAGCGGAAAGCTAGTATGTAATAAAGCGAGAAAAGCTTAAGAGTATTTCTACAAATTTCGTTATGCACTTACATCACTAGGTCGGAATCTAACCTCTAAAATCTAAATCTATTTTTGCCATCAAGCTCAATAGAAAAAAAATCAAACACAATACAGTTCCCAATCGATTGCCTAACCAGTTTTGGCAACCTATCTGAATAGTTAATCGCCAAAATATAAATAGGAAACGAAACGGCCATGCATTACATAGTGTACACATTTTTAATAGTGTCAATAATGATTATCGACGTGGCAACATTTGTATTCTTTTTAATTCTCTCAATCGAATGATTTTTGGCTGTATATCGATTTCCTGATCAATATTTGGCATACTTTTAGTGGCAACAGTTTGAGACTCTGAATGCAGTATTTTTTTAAGTGTGATAGTGAACGGTAATAGACTCGGAGTGTTTGTGTTTTGGTAAATAATTTCTTGTACTTTGAATGCTCCTTCTGTAATTGTATAATATCGAGGAACAAATGATTAAACCTCAAAAAAGTGATCGAATTATTTCAATTTTATTTTATACAATTCAACATTATGCGTTTGATTTGATTTTGGGAACTTATTTTTTTTTAATACTTCCTTATTATAATATAAACGTCTTGAATGTGGTATCATACTTTCTGTTTCAAATTTATTAGTGCCAAAGTATTATTATTTCCTATATTAACTTATATATCTGTCTGTGTCCAAGGCTATATAAGTATAATCCCTGCAAATTGCTTATGCGCCTACCCGCCATTTCGATAACGTAATTGCGTTCAAAATTCAGTACCGTTAACAAATAAACACCGGTGACGAGCCCATTTTTGTTATGTTTTTGTTCGTTTCGATTGTCATTGTTAAGTTTTGTTGTCACTTGTTATCGTTAACTAAAATAGCAACTGCTATTATGATTTTCACAATAAATAAATATAATTTCATTAATAATAAATAAATGTAATGTTCATAATTTATTATTACTTTTGGTTATGTTTTAAAAAATGTCCTTTCCGTTTTTTTATCGCTTTAATACAAAGGAAAAGTATGTTTTATTTCCGTATACCTCAATATTAACATATAAATTGAATAATATGATATGAGCAATAGCAGTAACATCTTTAAGTAATTTTTATTGGTGGTATCATGATAACTTTGCCAAAACATAATAGATATGTCTTCGTCTTAGAATAGATCAGAAGTTTTTGAGTAATGACTTTTACCGAATACTTTGAAAGAACATGCTATTTATAACAGTGTATTTATCTAGAGTTATCTTAATATTTACGTAAATTTATTTTGTTAAACAATTATTTAATTTCCAGGAACCTTATAAAGTGAAAATAGTGAAACAACCAAAGCCGAAAGTAGCACCTGATTACAAGCCAGAGGTAATTTGTTGACAGCCTAACTAACTGTAATAGTTTACATCGTATTTAATTTTAAATTAAGTTATTAAAAGGAATGTTAATTTAATAAATAAACGTATTGCTAATATTCCTTTGAACTTATTTGTTTTATTAACGAATGGAATCCTAGTTTGTACTTGTAATTTATAGAAGAACTTCCTATTAATCAACTGAATACTTTATATTTGATAACTTCGCACTGACAGAACCCTAATTTATTTTTTTACACAAATGACTTCAAGTTTTTGATGAATAACTATTTATAAATAGATTTATGGTGTGTCCTACTCCTTTTAATAGAAAGGACATGATATAAATGTATCGAACATACATATTATACAAAAAAGTAACAACAGAAGCATCTGACTATATAGACCAACTTATGATTCATGCAAAATACCTACAAAAAAATAAGAAGTTTACACATCTAAGACTAAAACTATTTACACAAAAAAGTAATAATCACAACTACAATACATAGCAAAAATACCTAGGTTTCATTGAAATGGGGTTCCTAAAGGAAATATTTTGGGTCACATTTTTTGCCTCAGTTTAACAAAACACATCAAAAGGATAAAAAGACTAATAGTAGATATAACAGAGGAAATAAGAAGATTTATTGTGTCAAAAATCTATGATTTCTAGACAATGGTATTTTTGTAAGATTGTAAATGAAAAATATTTTTTAAGACTATTTCTACAACAATCTTGTTTGTAATGTAAGTAATATTAATTTTAGCTAACATAATCAGTCGTCATTACATGATGCTCATACAAAATGCTTAATTGCAATCGAAAACTTTTGCTTCACTTAAAACAATACAGCCTTATTAAGTTTATCATATCGCTTAAATCATTAATAAGAATCTATATTTTTGTATTCTTCTATACAATATTGGTACTGTACCATCATCTCATTGCATTTTTTTCTCCATTTTAACATTATTAATATTTGCATTTTTATCCTGCTGTTTTATAATTATTTAATATTGTTGCTATGATTTTGGGCATATTCTACAATAATCTGTGGAGTTAGTGAATGTTTTTTTGCGATCTTGTTCCCTTAGCGCAGTATTCGGACTATTATTATATAATTTCTTAATTATGTCATCCAGCTAAAAGTGAATTTACTAAGGTTTCAATTTATAGTTAGTTTATATAATACATCTCCTATTGTTTTATATATAGGCAGTTCATATGTTTATTTACTTACAAATATTTCAAATAATTACCGTTATTATTTAATATCTAAATCCACAGTTCATATTGAACAGCATCATTGCTTTTATTATACCATTCTTCACCATTCACATCTTCATGAGCATCATCACCACTTCACAGGACTTTGAAACTGGTCCGCTTCCTTGGGAGGAAAGGGCAATGAAGGAGCCTCCTCCTCCTCCTGTGGACGCTGAGGAACCAATTCTGGTCCCCGAAGAGGTACCCGAGTTTTTGGAAGCAGTAGATCCTCTTCCTGAAAGTGAAGTACCAGATTTAGAAGAAACAGGTGATTCTGATGTTTTGTAAGAATGTAAATGTTACAATTATTTACTTAAAGACTGTTCCGACACAATAAAACTTGCAATAATTTAAACTTTATTGAATATTTATCCTTCACAGGAATCCCTCTGCCACCGCCAAATGTAGAAGAACAAGAAAAGCCTTCGTTCCCGATTCAAGAAGAAGAAAATATAGACGAACAAGAAGAGCAACCAGAGATATTAGATATAGAAGCAGTCGTAGAAGAAACTGAGAGAATCGTTGAAGAGATGGAAACTAATAGACTTGCTGAGCAGTTGCTCTCTGGAGTACAATGTATGGTTGGTAAGTAGTAGATGCAGTAAATATATTTGAAGACTTACAAATAGGTAAGACAACTAGAAATATGTTAGAGAAAAGAGAGTCTATTAAGAACATAGAATGGGATGATTGGACGATTTTTTTGACAGGTTTACTTATTTTAGGCTTTATTTGTGGAATAAGGCATTGTAATTTGAACGCAATATAGTCGGTATTTACTATCGAAGTCTCAAAAATAGTAAGCAAATTTAAACACTTATTTTATCATTATTTGACTGTACATTTTTGAAGATTGTATTGTTGAAGTATGTATTGTTGATTGTTTGAAGATTTTATATCTAAGAGAGGTGAAAGAGGCAGTTGAAACAACTTTTCCTTACGCCATGTAAATCAATGACAGATTGCATTAGAATTCAGAGGATTCGGCACGAGGTCTAACTAAATGGGTCATGTGCGATAAGGCCACCTATTGTACTGTGTTTGTTTAAGATGTTTGTGTATTTGTCTTTTCTATTGTACAACAAAGAATGTTTATTATTAACGCGACTCTTTGGTGTATAACGCCATCTTGTAATGCGTAGACGAACCACGCCGCTGCGTTCGATAACACTAGTGTAATACATGCATATCACACGAATTTCAAGAGGTAGGAGAATTCAATCTTTTCATGTAACAATCGTTAGAAATTTAATTTATTAGAAGCAGCTTGAATATGGGGAGGAAGTGCGTTCCAGAGTCGCATATCCTGAAGCGAGAATGAGTTTGAGATAAGCCCTGTGCGGTGAAAATGAGTAGCAGAAGGTTTCTTTGTCTGAGCGAAAGTTGCGACTATGTGAAGCATCTAGAAACTGAAATTTACGTTTCAAATATCCAGACGTACATGGATCTTTAATGACAGAATAAATTGTTGAGAGCATACTCAGATCACGACACTTTAACTTTATTCCATTGGTAGATATGCGATCTCCTTTTGAATTAAATCTGAAACGCTTCAAATGTCTGGTGCAGATCCATCGGCTAGTGTGGAGCAACAGCTAACTCAGATGCGAGCGCAAGTGGCAGCACTGGCGCAACTGCCCGGCGTCATACAGCAGACGTTAGAGCTGGTCACCAAGCAGCTCTCACTACTCACGCAACAGGTTAAGATCATCTCACATACCAATATGTTGTTATAAGCTTTCATGGACATTTACATTAGAATTTTAGTTTTTTACGGGATCGCTACTGTTCCCGATATTACGGAACTGTTGTTCTTTCGAGTCAAGTTCAAGAAGGTAGATAAATATATCCGACTAACACCCAGTTTCTGAATTGAGAATTTAAAGTAAAGCACGTCTCAAACGGCGCTTAAGACATTTCGAATGTCATTTAAACAGTTTTTCGTTTCTGATTTTAATTTTTTTAATGATATCTTGATAAAACCAGGTCTTTTTGCCATTTAACATAAAAAACTTAAGTTATTGAAAATAATCAGTAGATATTTTGAACTTTTCTCAATTCAGAAACTGGCCGTATGACACACAGCCGCATAAACTTAAGTTAGTCCGTGTTTATAGCGCTTGCAACAGCGCTGAGATGTCGGGAACTTAATAAAAACAAGGTATACGGTAATAATCCCGTAGAATACTAGAGAAATAGTGATGCTGGAAAGGAACGCTGTAAATCTGAAAAAAATGGGTTTACGACGCAGTCAGCCATTTGCACAAACGTCCATTAAAATTATCATTCGTTTAAAGCGACATTACCCATACAAATTTGACATTGATTAGAGCTTTAAGGCTTCTTTAAACCTAAATGGACGTTTGTGCAACTTACGGTGTAACCATAAAATAATAATGCGATAATGAGGGTACGTAGGATTTTTATGTATGTACAGTGCAGCCTTTTCTTAATCAATTTTTAAGGATTTTTATCTTTAAGATATTTTAGTCCTATTTTATCCTAAATACACATTGTCTATAGCTCTAAAATAATAATTGAACAATTATAGATAACTTACCATGTCACATTAAGTTTCACCGTGTTTTTGCCAATGGTTCACTCTTAACTTTGGAAAATGCCTAAGTCAAGTCGGTTTAAATTCGAATTATGCATTAGTGTTTGTCACTTCCTCGTATTCTTGGGACGCTCCAACAACAATTAAATTTGATTTGATTTGAATTTTGTAATAAATATAGTAATTATTATTCAATAAAATATTTGCTAATGTATTTTATATTTCACTATTTATTTTATTTATTTTCTATCTATAAAATATATATATTAGGATGGTTTTATCTGATTTTCATCGATATTTAAGCCTGGTTAGTTTGCAGTACCGTGTTTGCGCTCACTCTTGGTTGCAGCTGAAAATCAGCGATTTGCTCGCATTGTATGCGCGTGAATACTTGACGCTGAGCTGGGACCATTGTTTACTGCTGTGACGCACACACACATTTTGTTTTCGAATGTTCATTTGTCTAACCTACATACTTATTAATTATTTTTCGGTTGAATGAAATGTAATGTGTGTGTGTATTTTGGCAAGAAATAAATCATTTATCTATCTATCTTTCTATCTTAACAAGTATTGTATAATTCCAATCATTCTACAAGCATTACAATTAGGCGAATTCATTTCTTCCATTAAGAAACCAAAATTGTTAGCCGGATGATTTCCTACAGCCTTGAAAAGATTGAAATCGAAAATACGTCAGTCAATCTCTGATCTCCTTTGGTCAAATAACTCGCAATTCTTTTTTTGCAGGAATCACAACAAGCAAATAACTCCGAAAACCACGTAGAGCGTGCTGATGAACCACATCAAACTAACGAAGGTGAATATTATCATCACCTCAAGTCCCTTGATTCTCGACAAGAGTCACATGCAAGGCCAATAGGGATGATGACTGGATAAAAAAAATGTAATTCTATTTAGTCCGTCAGTCAGATAATAGAAAAATATTAGATACGTATTTTTTTTACTTCAATTTAACAAGAAATAGCCTAGATAACAGGCATTAAAGTTGAGGAGTGGGGGCTCGCTACGTCACAGTTGAGTAGAAAACGTACCCTAACGTGACGTCATGCGAAATTTCAACTCAATGTAACGCCGTAATTTTATGATTACGAAAAAAATTAAAAAATACGTGTTTAATATTTTTTAACACTCTACCTGACGGACAAACAAACAAAAATTAGTCATTATCCCTATTGCATTTCACTAGAGACTCAACTACATACATTTTGGCCAGGGGCGTAGCTACCGCCGCATCTGCCGTATCAATTATATGGGGCCCCCGGGCGAGGAGGGCCCCAACGTGCGTAAGCAAAAATGAAGAAAAACTTCTAAAATATCTTTTTATTTCAGAAATGACAAAAGTAAAAAAGAGTAGCTCGGTGGCGTAGTGGATAAGCGCCGCGGCCTGCGATCGTAGTCGTTAAGCACCTTTCGCAAGGGTCGGTCACGGGATGGGTGACCAAAAAATTATTATCTCGAGCTACTCCGTGCTTCGGAAGGCACGTTAAGCCGTTGGTCCCGGCTGCATTTGCAGTCGTTAATACCCTCCAATCCGCATTGGGCCAGCGTGGACGGTCATGGCCCATCCTCCTTAACCATCCATAAGGAAGGCCTGAGCCCCTGCAGTGGGGACGTAAAAGGGCTGGTGATGGTGATGAAAATAGAAACAAGTAAAGCATGCGTTTCAAAATTGGCAACACCATACATCGATTTTCGCAGACTCCGGGATTTCTCCGTTTAAGTCATTTACTTCAACGGGGGAAATGTCACAATAATCGATGCACATGCAATTAAAATGAGCACAGTTAATAAATAATTATAATAATAATATATTTTTCTAGATACAAATTCAACAAATGAAGTTAACGTGAACGGCGTTACTGAAGACAAAGAAGACTGTCAAGAACAACAAGTGGCCACGGAAGAAACCGTTACGAATACATCGGTCGCCGAAGAAGAAACCAAACCGAACTTGACGGAAGAAGAGAGGCAGAAGCTGAAGGAAGAAGAGGAAGAAATGCGTGCGGAGCAAAAAAGAATCGAGAAGCAAAAGAAGGTAGGTTCTAGTAATTTGTAGAGGATTAAACTGTTACTTTAAGTTATTCTAAATATTTACCCAAAGATATGTCTTGAATAACCCGATTTGCCAATAAAAATAGAAGAAATTCATTTATTTCATAATGTGTGCAGTAGCGTCTAATTTACTCGACATATTTAGTGACCCCTTCCAAGAATTTCAGGCTGCGATATCTCCTGCGTCCATCCTTTATATGCATTTAAAACAATCAGGCGTTATCTTGTGGAAGATTCCAATGATATCTAGCAACTTTCACATTCGTTACGCAAATTCACATGTACCTCTTGCCACTGTAAGGTCAAAAGACTAATACTCCTTGGATATGGAATACGTGTAGAATGTTGATTATCGCGAGATTAGACGCCGTTTGTACATGAGAACTTGTGTACGGACGCAGTTCACAGCAAGTCTTGCAGGATTGCATTAAATGGAGGTCTTTTATTTTTATTGGCAAATGGGTGACGATATTTGAGACGCCTAAGACTCTCTGGTTGAACATTTAGAAGAGCTAAACCTGTTAGCCAATCTTCTAAAATGTTTGCTCTCAACCAAGGTGATTACACGCCTTAGCGTAGAAAATAATATATCTGATCATGGAAAGGTTTGGTTGAACTGTCAGTACTATTTATTTGGGTAGATATTAGCGTCACACACTTCGTTAGGAGAAATCACACACTTGATAAATATCAGCAAACCAAGGCAATATTATAAATTTTAAGAAGATTTTTATTGTTCGTGTAAGATTTTAGGAAGGTCATGACTCAATGAAAGTTTCTGGAGAATAATGAAAAGTACTAGCTAAAAAAAATTAACAGGAATATTTGGAGGCAATGAAGTTAGAACAGGAATCGAGACAAGTGAAACAACGACCGACACCGCGCGTTGGTAAGCCTAAACCTGTATTTGGGCCACCCGTGCCTGTTGAGAGACCGTTGGTATTACCTGGCGGCAGAAAATGGCGGAAACCGCAAGACGCGTACAATGAGCAGTTCATTGCTGAAACTCTGACGGCTCAAGCCGAAATCATCCAAGGAAAAGCTAAAGGGTATTGTTATATGTTGGCTTTACATGTTTAGTTAATAGTTATATGTCTCATTTTACCTTTTATTTTGTTTCTTAACACATTTATTTAAAATATACCAATATTAACTTTTATAAAGTAATTTATTTTCTTATTAAGGTTCTTGATAATTTTGTCTTTTGAAACATCAATTAAATGAAGTAGTTTCCAAGCAATTTTTATTTTTCTTACAAAAAGTGGGTCTTATTTATATCGACTACTATTAAGCTTAATAATACGATTAATTAGTTTAGTTAGCTATAAAATGGTGCCAATTCTGATGTATAATGAAGAAGTATCTAAAAAAAACATTAGTTCCCGTAATCAAAATTCAATAATATTCTATTTATACTTTTTTGTATTTGTATTGATATTTAAGTTTCGAACTTTGCCAAATTCAGTTTTTTAATTTGTCAGTTAAAAGGAACGGAAATTACTATATTTGTTCCATTTGTTTCGCCATCTAGTGAGGTGCTTTTTAGTGCTTTCTTTTTTTTAATACTTCTTCATTGTCTAAACTAAACTTAAATATATTTTTTACGAGGTCTGTCCTCAATATTTCAAATCTTATCTCATGAAGAAGATGCATATGACAGTATTAAAACTAAATGCAGTTTCGTTTGTGAACGGAATTGGCAGCAATGTCATTACCATTTCATAATTTTCATACATTTATCATTTTATAGGTTATCATACGAAAGTGACATTCTGCCATACGATGAAAGGTTTGTCATACATTTTCATTAAAAAAAAGTATGTAGTACTCAAGCGTATTTTATTCCTTCATAATTTTCCACTCGTCATAGATGCATTTCTCAAACCAACATGAATTAAAAAAAAAGTTTTTTCGTGTTTTTATCTCTGGCGTATAACGTATGTTTTTGAATACAAATCTAATATTATTAAGTAATATGAACTGCGCTTGATTTCTACGAATCTATTAATGCATGGCGTTAATTGTACATTTATTGAATTTGTTCAGCCTAAAATATATATTTTGTATTTTTATTCTTGTTTGTATGTATAATAAGTATAAGGTTTGTTACGAGTTTATCTTCTTAATTTTGTTAATAGATTATGTAAAAAAGGTAGTAATTAAATAAAAAGGATTTATTTTTATAAATCGATGTCAAAAACCAATATCATTCGGACGCAAATGTTCTGATTAAAACATACACCAATGTTATCAATCATACATTTCTGATCAATACTAACCAATAAATACAATTCCATTAAAAACTTAATAATAATGTTAGAAGCAAAGACTTTGGGTAGTCATACATTAACATACTCTTTTCAGGGCAATCATTAAATAAAAAAAAAAATCACAAAAATACATAAAAAGTAATAAAAAAAGATAGGTATTTCCCGTAAATCTGTAATGCGCTGAAACCTTGTCTAGATAACACCCGCGTGACATCATATGAAAATAGAAAGTACGGATGGCACAAAAGGAAAATATAAATTATTTATTAATTATTGAAACACTTATGAATAATTCTCAAAATATTGTTATAATAATTTGTAACTAGTTAATTTATTGCATGAATTTATGGCTAAATATTAAGGTATATAAAAAATAAAAAAATACACTTAATTTGTAATAACGCGATAGCGAAAGGTATGGTAATTTTTTTATATAACCAATTGTAATAATTATATGAGAGACATTAGATATATTTATTATTAGTGAAATTATGTTTACTTATTGTGAAAATCGTAATAGCAGTTGCTATTTTAGTTAACCATAACAAGTAACAACAAAAATTAACAATAACAATAGAAACCAACAAAAGTGATGTGTGATCTCAACACAAATTCATCAGTACTGATTTTTGAACGGAATGACGTCATCAAAATGGCGGCCAGGCGCATTAGCAATTGCTGGGATGTTATAATGTTACCATGAAACCTCTTGAATAAAAAATAACTATAATAAAATCAAAGTTTTTTTCTGCTAGATAAGCGCTTCGTGTTTCTCAATGACCGTTTATAGGCACGTCAACTGGTATCATCAACAAAGAAATAATAATATTATTACTCGGCTTAACGTTCAATTAATATTGTCTTCAAACCCGTGTTTTTTTTTACGTAAATGTAAAGTTTAAAATTAAGAAAAAAAACAATTCATAAAAATATTGAAGCGAATATGTACCTGTACGTACATGCAGATGTATGCGATGGATTTGCTAACCGTACTCAGGGTGATGGGAGACGTCAATTCCAAGCGAACGGCCAGTAATTCTAATTAGTTACTTAATTTCTTCGTTTTTAATTGACACAAATAAATAATTTGCTTTATAATACTTACATGTTTTAGATATTATATAGTCATATTCTTCGCTTTGTAAAATTATTCTTTAAATTTATATTTGCTTATTAAACGGTGTCTGTATATATCGATAGTAATATCTAATGGGAAAGATTGTGTACAAGTAATCAAACCTTGATGCAAAACTATTTTTTTTTTTAGTTTTTTCTATGGATTTTAATATTATTTTGTAGACTACTTTTTTCTTTGAAGGTTTGATACATTTATGCACAGCCAATGCCTTCATTATTTGTTAAACATATGTATAAAAATGTTTGTTATTTCTGTTTAGATTAATGTTATTAGTGCTATTTTGTAAATTTATTACATTCATTTGTAAATGTGTATAATATAACATGAATTATGTGTTAATTCCGTGTTCTGAATGTGAGTTAAGACTTGACCATATTTTACAATACTATGGAAATAAATAGTGTAAATATCACTAGATGGCGCTTCTAGTCACTTTTTAATCTTATTATTCTTTAAAGGGACACTATATTGTAATTTAATATGAAAAGTAATGAAAAAAAACTATTAATAACTAAACCACAACCTTAATTTGCGATGAAAAATATAAAATATATTATTATTATTACTACTAGTACGAATTAACATGTTACCTGATGTCCTCTTCTATTAGTCTTTGAACAAAATCCAAAAAAAAATCGTCCAGTTTTGATATGCTCCAAAGGAACCTTTTTTTCTCTAATTTATGATGCAACTGAGGTAGGAGCTGACGCTGTCTCTGATGCATAGATAATTTACACCAGTCTTTACCAAAGTGGGTGATAACGCCACCTTGTGGGCGCTGCAGGCCTTAATGGGGGCGATAAGTGAACTAGAAAAAATTATTACCTACTTTGCTCAGGTCTCAACTTAACTTTTGCGGATTATATTAAAAGTCTTATCTAATATTTGAAATTATAGTAGTTTTGAGTAGTCGAAAAATAAAAGCGTTAAAAATTATTTATTCTCAAAGTGGGCAGTAGATTAAATGAGTTTGGCAACCCCTGATCTCCACGAATGTGATTTTAATAATATTATAAGAACCATTGGAAATTTTTCATATTTTATGACAATATTTCTTTTCCTTTTACTATTATGTGTCTTTTGGTAGAAAAAGGGATAAATGATTAAGTTGGTACACTGATATCAAATCTATATTATATTTATTTATTTATATTATATATTATCATAACTGATCTTTATTTTTCAGTTGGATATTAAAGTGCATGTCAAAGTATCAAAATGAAATGAAACACCGCTATAACATCGCGAGATGTATCGTATCCTATAGGTGGAGTTATAGCTAGAGGGGCTAGGCGGTCCCACTGAAAGTATCATGTTAATTCGTACGAGTTATATTACCTATCGTGAATATAACCTACAATGCGCTTTTCAATTCAATTTAAACTCACACTCAGTCCACGGATCATAGTTGTTTTTGCTTGTGTTTTAAGTGTTGTCTCGTTTGTTTGTTTGCATGTTTATCCGCGCTGTGGCAGATTGAGATTTGGAACGAAGTTTGGCCATGGGGAAATAGCAAGTCGTATTGTAGACAATATAGGTATGTAATGAAGCTCATATTGGTTTACTGTACACTTAAATTATATGTATAATATGAAAGTAATTTATGGCCTAATTCTTTTAGCAGGCAAAAAAATGACAACATCTTTAACTAGTGAGCGTAAATAGTAACCGATAAATATCGTTACCCATACATCTCTAACGGTTCCGTGTACTGTCTATTGTTGTACGGGATAATGTTAGTGATATATACAATCTATAGCGTTCCGTACAACAATACTACATGGAAACGATATAGTTCTATGGTTAGCGATACATATTGTTAACTTTTAAAGCTCAATTAAAACTTTGGGCTATTATACCTCTTTTCGAGTATCTTTTAAATTTAACATAGTCATATAAAGAAGAAGTGGTAGCCTAGGCCACATCTGAACATTTTTATGACATTATATCAATTTTTATACTTTGACATGTACTTTAATAAACGACGAACGAACGTTAAAGAATAATGATTATGTATTTGACAGCTATGTTACCAATTTTAGTCATTACCTATCAAAAAGGCATGTCGAAGTAATAAAATAATAAGAAATATCGCTGTAGCATCGCTAAGATGTCTTATCCTAAGGCTTAGATTGGCGATCGTACCCCAGCTTTTTAAAATATTATGCTTATTTACACACATAGTTACAGATTGTTGGTGGGGTAGCCATATACGGCGATTTGACTTAGCTTCTTTCAAAGACATCTACTGTCAAATAGTCAAATACCATAGAAATATTTATTTGGATATATAAAAACAATATTAATATGATATAATGACAGAGGTGTATCTTAAACTATTTTTAGGGGTAGATTAAAGAGTCAATTGTTGTGACATAGCGAGCTCCCGCTCCTCAATAGACATTAAACTATGATCTTAGCCATTTCTTTTTAAATTAAATCACAAAGAGTACGTATCTAATATTTATCTATTATCTGACTGAGGGACTAAATATATTCTTTTAACCCATGCAATATATACTTAAAAAAGACAAAGCTATCTTTTTTGTAAATTATTTGTTTTCACTTGATATTAAAGTAATTCCTCGTCAGACAGACACCACACAACTTCTCACTTGTGATTTACCAAATGTGACATAAATTTTATAAAGTATATATTGTAATAATCGTTCCAGGGAATCAAACTGCCACCTTGTGGACTATCATACGCTACACGACACATACGTAGTGAATTATAACAAGTTGATTGAAGTGAGTCTCAGTGCACGATGTGTTACAGCCAGAACATCATGTGTTTCGGGAGAAAACATAGAGCATTTTTCATTATTCATAGAGCAATGAGCGTTCTCATTTGGCAGCAGGGAAGCTATACATCCAGTTGTCCTTCTGTTGGAAAGAGACAGCGGAGATCTAGTGATCACTCACTCTCTCGTGCATGCGTAAATAGTTTGGCACACGGAAAAAGAATTATTTATGCCGATCTAAGACGTTCTAAAGAAAATAATGAGGAACCATTTGAAAAAAGAACATTAGTTCCCGAAATTAAACTAGATGTCGTTACGTTACTTTCTTGTTTTCTCCATGATAACCTTTCCGGTTTTCTTTCATGTACAAAAGTTAATTAGTTTTCAAAACTCAATAAACAACTCTTATTCTATTTGTACTTTTTCGTATTTGTATTGATGTATAAGTTTCGAACTTTGCAAATTTCAGTTTTTTAATATGTTAGTTAAAAGTAAAAGAAATGACTATCATGGTCCATTCGTTTCCTGCAAAAATCAACTTTTGCTAGAGTCGCCATCTAGTGGAGGTGCTTTTTAGTACTTTCTTTTTCTTAAAATACTTCCTCATTGCGATAAATGATGAAAATCGTCGTCTAACGACTTTTCTGACATAACAAAGATGAACGATAAAAATTCATATTTAGACAATTAATTTTTAAGATCAGTCGATGAAACAATGAAAATCAAAGTAAAAGAAACGTCTAATATATACTTTATAGCTGTCCTTAACTATGCATGCGTCAGTAGAGAGAGACAGAGTGCCACGCAGTCAGTAACAAATTCGCGCTCTTTCGAACAGAGACTACTTACTACTCTATCACTAATATGTCTATGGCATAAAATCTATTTTAATAACGCGCCCATTTTATCTTTGCTATTTATAATTTTAAAGAATGAGGTTCTACCCCTTTTTAAAAGTTTTAAGTTACCTAGTTGAGATTATAAAGTGCACTCTACATATAAATTAATTCATCACAAATAACAAATAACGCTACATGTACTTTTAGGCTTAAGAATTTTTAATTATAAATTTTCACAAAGTTTTCAATCATACATATAACTGTATACCTAAAATGAATATATGTGGGTTGATTATCTAATTTCAACATCTATCGCAATCAAGTTACTTTTTAAAGGCACTATACGATAGATTTTGAAATTAGCCAGTTAATCTCCTGATATTATATATGATAAAATATAAAGGATAAGTACATTCTTTACTATACAATATAAAATAGTTTTTATTCTTTGTGATAGCTGCTTATTTACCAACAAATACAAATCAATAGAAAAACAAAAAGTGATTAAAAGAAAATATATTTAATATAAAGAATACGCGACTAAATAAAATAATAAAAAAACACATTATTTTCGAAAAACTCCACACCACTAAACAGACATTCAATTCATTTTTCATTGTTTTCGTCTCGGCACTTCAAGGAATGTTTGATTTTATTTTTCTGTAAACCAATCGTTTAAAAATAAAATGCTTTCGACAAAAATTCCTTCGAACATAACATTAAAATAAAAACTTAATTATGTTCGAAGGAATTTTTCAACAACTGCCTTATTTACACAGTTATGATTAATCTAATTTTATGAACCAGGATCAACTTCATGAAATACGAAAAGCCACCCGTGTCCTTGGACCACCTCCAGCACTCGGAGGTATTCAAATTGATACACAACATGGAGCAGAGTCCGGTGAAGCGTGTTGAGATGCTTACGCCTGTCATCGCCGAGGTGGACTACAGAGAGGTGATTTTTCATTAATGTGGGCTAATCACTACCTTGTATAAAACAAAGTCGCTTTCTCTAACCCTATATCAATGTATGCTTAAATCTTTAAAACTACGCAACGGATTTTGATGCGGTTTGTTTTCATAGATAGGGTGATTCAAAAGGAAGGTTTTTATGTATAATACAAGAGCACGCGGGCGAAGCCGCTGGCGGAAAGCTTGTAGAGTATATGACACTTTTCTGAAAACTATTTTAAATCTTCGTTTGATACATTACCTCGCGTGTTTATAAGTTTTGAGACAAAATTTTTACTGAAAAAATAAAGTAAAACGTTACTGGCTGTTATTTTTTTACCGATTTTCAATTTCGAATGTTAACTTTTAGTTTATTTGTATTGCAATTTCATTTGTTTATATTTTCTCATGATGGAGGAATCGAAACAATTGCGTGCAACTGTCACTTCGCTATTTAAAGCGGGAAAAAAGATGCAGATTTTCTGTGAGCTGAAAAGTTTTCCTGTAAGCCGTAACTTCGTCTATTACACAATACAGCGGTACAAAGAGACAAGTTCTCTGCAAGATCACCAAAATAGTGGTCGGCCCCGCACTGTGAGGACGCCTGCAAACATCAAAATCGTCCGAGAGTGACTTCGCCGAAATCCATGTCGCACTCAGAAGAAACTCGCTCTGCAGACTTATAATTCGCGCGTTTCAGTGAACAGAATACTGAAATATGATGTTAAGGTAAAGGTCTATAGCTGTAGAGAAGTTCACTTTTTAACGTTCGTTTTAAGTTACGACGCGAACGTTGTCCATTGCTGCTGAGGAGACATGACGCCAGAAAGATACTCTTCACCGACGAGAAATTTATACAATCGAAGAAAAGTTCAACCGACAAAACAATGAAGTGTACGCTAAAAGTAGCAAGGATGTCCCAGCTTCTGCACGGAATGTCTCGCGTACTCATTATCCGGCTTATGTGATGGTATGGTGGGTAGTTTCATATGAAGGTATCACTCCGCTCCATTTCTGCCAACGAGGTGTCAAGGTGATAGCCAAAAATTATCAGAGTGACATTTTAGAGCCTGACACGTGATTTCACAATAAGATTCAGCAAGACGCGGCGCTATCCCATAAGCTAAATAGCATCTTGGTTGAGGGACAATGTACCGGCCTTCATCGCGGCGGATGAGTGGCCCTACTCCAGCTCCGACCTCCGCTGGATTATTCTTTATGGACTAAATTAGAGCTCAGGGCCTGCCGAAAGTCCAACCCAAACTTGGAGTCACTGAAGTGAACCCTTGTTCGAGAAACAAAACGAATTCCGTTAGAAATGATTAAAAATAAAGGTTGTCATTTTGAATAAAATATATATTTTATTGTTGATTATTATGTACTTAACGGTTACTGAAAATTTTAAAAATATAAGTCAATTATTAAAAAAGTTACGCAACTTTTATATAAATGCGGTGGACTACCCGTCACGGTATTGTTTCAGTGACAAGGAACGATAATAACAGATAACGAGAGCTAATACAAGCGAGATCCGAACCGAAAAAGTGATGTGAACTATCTGGACGATTAAATAGTGTTGTCAAGCGAGACTAGTGACGCGAAATAGTGAAGTTGAAGAGTGCATATTGTTGTTAAATAATTTTTGTAATTTTATTGATTAAATATAGAGTCGTATTGCAGGAAGGATCAAAGACAGTATATCCGTTGTTTTTAACTACGAGTAACATATAAAAAAACTGAAATTTAAAAAGTTCGAAACTTAGATATCAATACAAATACGAAAAGTACGATTTTTTTTGTATACTTCTTCTTTAAATTGTAAAATATGTAGGTTTTCGTATTTATATATTTTATATATATAATATAAAATTATAGTCACTATAATTAATATTTGTCAGTATATTAATTTGATGTTATAAATACAATGCGTTTATTTTTATTTATTTATTAGTGACTTTAAAGTTACAATTGCTTTTGGAACAAACGATAATTTGAATGATCAAAAAAATTATAAAAACTTAGTTAAACCCGAAATATTGCAGTTAGTATTTATCGCATTCGTTTTTATTTCTCAATAGCTTTCATTTATCGCTTTGCTTCGACAATTCCAATTAACGGGAAATTAACAAAATTGCGATAAATAATAAATTTAGACAATAAAGCCCCTTTCTTTATTCACATGGATTCGTCGTGATCTACAAATGTGTCGTATTTACCATATTCACCATCAGCTATTTTACGTCCCTGCTGCAGGGGCTCAGATCTTCCTTATGGACGGTTCACGATGACCCAATACGGATTGGAGGCTATTAACGACTGCAAATGCAGATGGGTCCAACGGCTTAACGTGCTTTCCGCAGCACGGAATACTTCGAGATAACATTTTTCGGCCACCTATCACGTGACTGACTCTTGTGAAAGTTGCTTAGCAACAACGGTGGTGGGCTGAGGCGCAAATCCACTACTCCATCGAGCTACTCTAAAAAAATCGGTATAACGAAATTCTTTTTAATAGATTTTCTTGGCCAATTAATGCAATATACCTATCATTAATAGAACAATAAGTCAATGTTAGTTTTATTTATTTATTTATTCACATATTATAACTACATAAATACATCGTTAATCATAAGAAACATTTTTTATTTACAGAAATGTCGTTCGGTGACACCCGCTCGTGGTTTTGAAAATCACATGTCACAGCAACTCCACCCGTGAATAAAATAAAAGTAAATGTCCTAAAAGCTTCATAATAATTCGCGCTTCACAAATTATATAACATAATCTTGTATTTTATATTATTTATATTAATCTGTTGTTTCATATAATTAAATGATGTTTCAAACTGCTTAACGTAATTTTATTTTCTACTTTACATTTGGTTTTCGCAGACTACTGCCAAGCCCAAAGATTATTATTAGTTATAGTTTGATAACCATAAGGTATAAAATACTCTGTTCTAGATTTCTCCCATAAAACTTTTCACATTTTACTTTCCCACGACGCCTTGGTTGGCTGGAAGAGTTATCTTCTGGAGATAAGCCCATCCTTGTAACAGATTTATTTGTGTGTTTTTATATAAAATTTTGAGTATAATAATCACACACGGTGGGATTTGACTTTAAATACATTAATTGGATCATACCGATGAGTCTCAATTTGCCATGTTTCTTTGGCTAAGGGTTGTATAAATAGAAAGCTATATGTTGCAAGCCGCAGTTTCAGACAGACATTAGCTATTTTATTAATCAATCGCTTTAGGAACGAATAGCTATTTGAATGATCAAAAAACATAATATGAACTCTTACGTTTAACGAGATCTATTGCATTAAATATATAGGAAAATAACGATATGTCCATGTGTTAAGCCTTATATCGATATTTTTATGAACCTTGCATCTCTAAACGAGCCGGCTCATAAATATGACATTGACAATCATCTGATTTTGCTTGTCATTCTCATTTGTAAACAAGTTTCTATAATTATTTTCTAGTATAAATGTGCAAAAAGATCTCTTAAATAACCATATTTGTGTGACAGTTGATCATAAATTATCTCGAAGAATGGTGACTTCAAAAGTAAGTTATTGTATTTAAAATCATAAAGACAACAAAATGTATTCATCTTCCTTGTCTTCAATATAAAATCCAAAACTAATGGAATTATTTCAATAGTATAATGCTATATGTTATTATAGAACGATAAAGGTTGTATTGTGAATAACAATTTCATAAAAAATTGATAAAACAATACAACTTTGATATAACCTATAGACAGAAAATATTTTGAATATCCATTTTAATTATTATATGATGGGATCCTATCTATATACCAGGGACAAAGTGGATTTTGAAGCATTTTTCATTAAGAATATTAACTATTTTATACTACTATTGAATACTATAGTAATCTCAAAATTAACACGTTGGGCCTGGTGCCGGTCCCTAGGTCCCTAGGGACTGGCAGCAAACTTTCTGTGTGGCCAGTGTCGGTCCCTGGGGACCGGCACTAGAATCTCTTGGCGATAGCATACAACATTGTATCTTTCACTGGCTTACAGCTAAATGGAAAGGACATCAAATTCAGCACTGGGCTCAGCATGTTAAAGTTTGTGTACTGCTTAACAAACTTTTTTTTGGTTGTAATTTTAGCTTGAGGTGTTAGTGGACTTTGGAGACAGTCCAGATCAGGATCTAATAACTAAAACTATTACTAATCTTACATCTAAAGAAGGTGTTAAACAGGTAAGTTAAAGCAAAATATATACTATATAAAACGGGAAAACCAAGGAATATTTAAATAATGTCCGCACATGTCTTTTAAAAGCACTATTGGTTAATTCACCTGGGGTTGATTCCAAAGGAGGTGAATTTGATACTGAAGTTTTTAACTAGAAAACTTATGGAATTTTATAGAAATTTTCAACCCCAATTTCATGCTCTTACGGGGTTGAATTTCTAAAAATCCTTTCCTGATATGTATAGTTTATAGTGCAGTGTATATTCAAAATCATAGAATAAACTTCAATAGTTTACTCTCGGCGATGATGAATCAGTCAGTACAAGTTCATCAGTACAATGCTGTATATTTTACATACATAAACAGAAAGCTATTCAATGGACTGCTATTAATATATATATATCAGTATATCCAGAATACATTAAATTGACAAATATCAACTGAGTTTGAAATCTATTTCCAATGTATTTAGCATTATAATATAAGCGTCATCACTGTAACGACAGTTTGGCTTCACAGGCCAAATTCCAAGATGGCGCTATAATGGTGGAAACCTCATTACCAAGCACGGAGATTTTGGATTATGTCACTAAGACTTCTGGTAAACGAGCTGTCTTACAAGGATTTGGTGGTGAGAATAACTAAATTGAATGAAATAAAAATTTTAGGTCATAATAAGCTGAACATATTGAACATTCAACAACCTCCGGAGTATAGAAGTTTGTAGACCGGTTTCAATGTTATGCCATCTTTGAGATTCAACAACCTCTGGAGCATAGAAGTTTTACACTGGTTTCAATATTATGCCATCTCTGAGATTCCGGGTTAGATTGTCTCGAGTTGATGTAGAAAATGGTTGTGTCTATGTTGTCTCCACTCTAGGTGTTGTGGTACCTTCAAGAACAAGTGGTTTAGCTATTCATCTAAGAATCTGAGCAATATAGATGATACTTACTATTTATATATTGCTTACTATTTGGCCTAGTGCTGCCATCTGTGCCGAGCTTTGTGTAATTATTAGGACGAAAGCAAGCTGATGAATTACTTATTTTATTAGTATTACGCCCAGTTGTACAAACGTCCATTAAGGTCTAACGACTTTAAGCTCTAATGAATGTTCTAAATTTGAAAACTTTGTATTGGTAATGTTGAGTAGTGTGGACAAGCGCCGTGGGCTGCGATCGTTGTTATCAAGCAACCTTCGCGAGGGTCGGTCACGGGATGGGTGACCGAAAAATGATTATCTCTCACTATTCCGTGCTTCAGAAGGCATGTTAGGTCGTTGGTCCCGGCCAAATTTGCAGTCGTTAATACCCTCCAATCCGCATTCGGCAGTGTGCAGCGTCATGACCCTCTTCCATGATCCTCCTTAACCATCCATAAGGAAGGCCTGAGTCCCTGCAGTGGGGAAGTAAAAGAGCTGATGATTTGGGCAAGAACGAATAGTAAGTATAAATACATATAAATTCATTTATGTCAGAGAGTCAGTCAGCCGTCGCCATGGTCTCTGGGCAGACTTGTTGTGGAGGTGCAGTTATAGGAGTGATAAGGTTCCAACAATCTGGTGATATGCTGGTAACAGACGGTAGTATTGATGGTCTACCACCTTCCACCGTGCATGGTATACACGTGCACGACGCTGGTGACATAAGCCAGGTGATTATTCAAAGAAAATTGACAAAGACGTTGTTTATTGAAATGTGACGTCACACGATGCTCCGTCACGGCTAGTGTTGCCATGTCTTCTTATTTTAAATCGGGACAGAATATAAAATAAATTGAGATTTAGAGTTGTAAACAGAAATTAGTTTTCTTACCATCTTAAAAAATAAAGGTTAAATCCTTTTTTTCTCGATTCGGGATAATTAGCTGCTCGATCGAGTGCAAATAAGGACGTCTAACAATACTAGTCATGGTTGCCTGCGTTTCAGTTCTTGCGATCCACAGATTATAAATCGCAAGTTAATTTGCACAAATAACTTGAAATTTAAAACAAAAAGTCAAGTGTCCTATTATTAAAACTTCAAAAATATTCATTTACACTATGACATGACATTTACTATGACATTATTTTTAAATGGCACAATTTCCGTGTATAACGGAACAATCAACATTGATAAAAAAAAGTGTAACGCGTACAAATCAATTATGTTAATGTTAATAGAATCTCAGCTACCTACTTATATTTTGCCATTGTACTATCTACCTGATCCAATACTATTAATGCAATGTCTTCCTCATACGTCAACGGTGACATATATATAATATAGTTCACAATCCGACTTTATTTAACACAATAAAATTACAAAAATAATCCAACTGCAAAATTCACTATTCAACTTCACTGTTTCACGTCATTAATAACACTTCACAACACTATTAGATCGTTCACCGCTCTAGTTATCACCTCGAGTTTCGCTTCCGAACGCTTTTACTTTCATATCGCTTGTTCACTCAAGAATGCCGAGACGCTACCCGTCTCGTCCACCGCGTATTTATAGGTGCTGATACTACATCTAGAATGTTCTAGGACCAAGAACATTCTAGGTTGTTCCTTTGCCCTACCGGTGTAACCGAGGCAGTGCTGCCAACTAGTACAAAAAAGCTCTAGAATGCGCCAAAATTACTTTTAGAAAAAAGCGCTAGGTTCGCGCCAAACACAAATGATCGTTACAATGAGTACCTACGTATTTTGATAAAATTTTATATAGTACGTAATATAAAATGAAACAAAGATACATGAAATCGTTGTTTAAACTATGTATATTTTTTTTGTGATAACTAGGGAGAATACGAGCAGACGGAATGAATGATGATGAATTTGAATGTTAAAAATATGAATAATACAACAAGCCGGCAGGTTAATATTTTTATTATGAAATAACAAAAGTTATTATTATAATGAATGAATGAATGAATGACTCATTCATTCATTCATTCGGTTCACTCATGTGTCCGATTTACGTCATTTAATGAAGAAATTTCTATTGATACCATATTTTGTTTAAAAATACAAAACAAAATTAATTGATTATACGTGTCTCAGATATTTTATTCCTGTCATTTCGAAACTCACTTCACTTATGCCACGAGACAAGTGGAGATTGAACAGATGCCGCTTTTTGTAGTGAATTCTGACACCTGAGCGAGTTTTGATACGGGTTTGGATTTTTCGCACGCCGGTTTCAAGGTGTCGCCATCTCTGAGGTCCCGGGTTCGATTCCCGGTCGGGTTTATGTAGAAAATGAACTTTTCTATATTGACTCGGGTCTGGGTGTTGTGGTACCTTCGTTGTCTCAGATACTCCATAATACGGGGGCTTTAGCTACTCATCTTGGAATCTGAACAATATATGTGATGTTGTTATTTATTTATTTATTTATTTATTTATTGCAAGGCAGATAAAACTAATAAATAATACTCTTGAAATCCATGAAACATTCGTTGTCATAAATTATGACTCTAGGATAAAACGAGAGTTCTTTTTTTAGCTTCTTAATGTTGGTAGTAGGTAGATGGTTTCTTGGTTTTACTTATTACTTGTAATTTGTTTACGTTTTACGTAAAGTATAACGCGGTTGTATATAATTAAAAAGAGCTCTGTGTTTAGCGCTAACGCGCTTTGAGCCATTTAAAGCGCTAGATCTGGCGCGAAAAGCGCTAAGTTGGCAGCACTGAACCGAGGCGTTACCTAAAAGTTTTAGAACAGCTTCCCGTCCCTTTCTTCCCCAGTGACTGTCCCTTTCTCGCCGACCCGATGTATACCTATATGACACAGGTAGTTTCAACGTCGTTAGCGCGATTCATTGGCGCATAACGCCATCTAGTAATGCGTAGACGAACCGCGCCACTGCGCTCCATAAAACTATTATTACGTAAACATTAGCAGAATGAAGAATGTTAACAATTTTTTTTTATTAGCACTCCATATTCTCTGTCAAAAATAAAAAATACTAGTGAAAGAATTACTTCGATACGACAATTAGTTTCCGATTTAGAAGTAAAACAAGTTATAACCGCACGACGCGGGCTGCCTGTGACGGTGTGACGTCATTGCACAACACGCTCAGTCTGGCTCACTTGGTCTGCTCGCAGTCGCGCGCCCGTGCCGTCGAAATTTTACCTAAATACTTTTAAAAATGTCCAATCGAAATACTAGGAAATCATGTGTTGAGCCTAAATGTAAAAATACAACTACTAATTCGCCGGGAAAAGTGTTTTTATAGACATCTTTATGATAAATAGACATCTTTTCAACCTCTTTTTTTTCACATATAAAATGTGAAAGAGAACACTGTATTTGAAGCTCTCTAAGTTTTAATGCTACTTTGTCAAAAAAAATTTCATTCTGACCGGCTAAATGAAGTGTTATACCACTTGTGCCAAAATCTTTAGCTTTAATCATTTTCAGTGTCGCACCAACACCTGAGAGCTTAGATTTTTTTCAATTTCGACGATGTAGCCACATTAAAAATGCTACAGTATGTTTACAGCCACCTCTGCTGGCGGCACAATCTTCGCAGTTTACATTTAATACTTCTTGATCCTTTTCATTGCATTCTAAACTGCAATGATAAGGTGTGGTACGTACGCGGTGTTCTGACGTGATTCTACATTTAACCGTACATACATACATCACCTACTCTTTTAACTTGAACATAACCAATAGCATCATTGCAATAGCTGTTTCTTGCCGATCTGAAATAAGTTTTAAATAAAAATAAATAGCCTTAAGTATTTTGTTAGTAAAATAATACTAATAAATAAATAAGGTTTAGTACATCTGTTCTAACTTCTATATTTGCAACAAAAAAATAATTTAATAAAATGGCCTTAAGTATTTTGTTAGTAAAAAAATACTAATAAATAAAAAAGGCTTAGTACATCTGTTCAAACTTCTATATTTGCAACAAAAAAATAATTTAATAAAATGGCCTTACGTATTTTGTTAGTAAAAAAAATACAAATAAAAAAGGTTTAGAACATCTGTATCCACAACATCTACATCCTAGGTACCTACCCTACTTCCTACGTATATTATAAATACGAAAGTTAGTGTGTGTGTTTGTTTTTTATCTTTCACGCAAAAACTACTGAACAGATCTGGACGAAGTCTGTAATAATAACACTTAGGCTACTTTTAATCCTGGGAAAATGTACAGCTCCCGAGGGAATCGTGGGCGAAGCTGCTGGCGGAAGCTAGTTTGCAATAAATCAATGTATGTATTTATTTAAATTTACTAAGAGCGGTACCTATATATACATACGTACCTACCTATAGCTACAAAACTATAATACATATTTGTCTTTAACGTAAAAATTTAATGGTAGGTAGGTACTTCTAATATTTGAGTTGCATTCTTCCATTACGACATTAGTTGTGTATTTTGTTTTGATAAAACAATTTAGAACAGATAAACTATTAAGCATCAATAATAGCAAGGAAAGTTTACTTACCTATGCATTTTTATTCCTCGCATTTCGGCGGCAACGAAATTATTATTTGTTAATAAATAATGCGCAACTTTTAATCCATCTATTTTAGGTAGATTATCCGATTGGCCTTTTTCGAATCCTTTGTCTATTTTTTTAATCGAATAATATTTAATATTATTAGACTATTAACTTTATACACGGGCGAAAACACAACAAAATACTGCGCAAGTTATTATATCTACTATAAC